TAGATGCACATTGAGGTGGTCTGAGCTGATAACCTATCCTTACCTTCCCCATGTAAAATTGGGTTGGTTGAGAATAATACCTGAACTCTGGCTGCTGGAAAGGTTCTTGTAACAGCTTGGTCAAGGCGTCTTTTCAGCAGTTCACTTGCTGCGTCCCCTCGAAAGGGGACTTTGAGGAATAGTGTTTTCTTTTCTACAGTAGGTGCAGTGGTTCTTATTTGTTTCTCCGCCATATTCCTTGTAATAAATCTCTCAGGATACCCATTTTCACGCAGTAGATCCTCGATTTTCTTGAGCTCCTCCTCAATACTGTCTGCTGAGCAAATTTTCCTAGCCCTTTACACTAAGCATCGAACTAAATTTAGCTTCTGTTGGAGAGGTACGAAACTGTTAAAATTCGTGTACTGTCCAGACCAGGTTTTATTTCGATACACGCTCTCTCTTTCGATAGAGAGATGTAGCGGGCCAAGGATTTCGAGGTTGGCACACACCTAAAGAAGTAATTCACTCGTAAGTTCCTCCGGATGTAACGCCGAACGGGGTTATCAATAACCACGACACACAATCGTATAAGCAGATAGAAGGATACCAAGATAGAGAGAAATAAGATCTGTCTGTTATGAAGACAGGTCTGATTTCAACTTCTGGATTTCCGTTTCTTCACACTTGAGGTAGCGTGCTAGGAAGGGCAGTATAGACTGCTGATATGCCGATGTACGGCAGGACGTATGACGGAAGCCTCGGCGCATAGTACTGGATGACTTCGCAGTCATTAGTTCACACTGGAGAGGATGAACGACCTTACCGAGAATGCGATCGGCAAATTGCTTCACCGGTTTAAAGTGTCGCTGTATTATAATTTCAGCTATAGGGAATATCGGCAACTGAACAGAGCATTCGGAGGAGACGTTTTGTTTCAGTACCGCTACTATCTTCGGGTCTTTTTCTAAAATCGCATTCTCCTTATTTTCTACCCCGCCTAGCTATCACCAAGCCGTGCCATCATCTCTGCCCGACTTAAAGTTGAAGGCAAACTTCGGCATTGCTGCGCCTGAGATGCCGGCACTTGTCTTCACGCATGACGAGGAGTGGAAAGAGGCGGCGAATGGCTTCAACGTCAAAAAAATGATCGACTTCCTCTCGCAGAAGGATGTACGTTAGCCTGTCTTGGCACTCTTGCCTAATTTTGTTTGGCTTGCGGCTTTTTGATCATCTAAAACCCGGGGGGTATGTTTGCCCGTAGCGATGGTGTTCGCGTGCCCGTCTGCTCCTCAGACGGAGGAAACGATCCGGTAGGGCTTCCTTGTAAGGCCGCCTTAGAATAAATTCAGCAAGAGCCGAAGGTCGAATTTCCGCCTATCCAACGAACAAGAGGTGTCTACTATTCTCATTGATCAATCAGCATCATTTACTGAGGCAGCAGGAGTTAACGTTTGCTCATTTGATTATATTTAGCTAACTAAAGTACTTACAAGTGGCTTTAGTTTTGCTTTCCATTGGTCACTTTCCACGCAATTAAACCCGCATTAACACTCCTTAATCAAGTATTAAAACTTTAACCACGAATTTCATAAGGCAGTTGGGTGAAAGGGAAAAATTATTTTCGGGTGACCTCACGAGCAAGCTTTAGTAGCGATCCCATCCTCAGCCCTCCAATCGGTGTGAACAGCATGTCCCTAGTCAATCTGCCCTTTACTGCCACCGCGCACGCACATCACGCATCGGCCTGGTCGGTCACTTGGGATTCTATCGCACACACAAACTGGTGAACCAGTGCCCTGCGGCCCCGACATACAGTCGCCGCCTCATCTTCAATGTCCACGCACATTCCCATACGACAGTGGTAGAAAGTAGTAGTGGCAGTAGCAATAGTACCAGCAATATTAATAGAAGTAGTACTAGTATTAATGACATTAGTAGTGGTAGCGTTAGTTCTAGGGACAGAAGTAGCAGTAATACTATTAGTAATATTAGTAGTGTTAGTACTAGTAGTAATAATAGTAGCAGTATGAACCTCGTTTATGGACGTTCACCGTAGACGTATTGGTTATAGTAACAGTATTATCATAAGCAGCGGTAGGGGTATTACTGATAGTAGAAGAAGAAGAAGAA